AGTCCAAGCATCGATTTTCTGAAGATAAAGAGCACAAACCCAAGTCAGAAAAGACCAAACAAATAGGGGTAAATAGGTCAATATAACAAAGTTTTACCTTCACATTGGCGTTCTCTGCAACAGCTGCACTCTTTTGCCTTGGCATCATATGAAGACAATGAGAAAGCACCATGAATGTTTTTGGAAAAAATGCTCAGTTCACCTCTCTTGCTTTTTCCTGCCAATAAAGAAAAAGAACATGAGAAACAATGTAGAACTAAAAGATAAAAAGAAAAAAAAGAAAAAAAGAAAAAAAAAATCACACACCTGGAAACCCAACAATGCCAACTATATCTCCACGTTTCACACCAGAATGGTACTTAGAGAACTCAGCTTCATCCAAATCAGATCTCCTGTAAAACCAATTACCAATAAAGATGGCTTTTAGATTTAAAAAGAATATAAAGGTAATATGCAATTTCAATTTCAAAGTAATATTAAATTTGGGTTACCTTGCATCAGCCATAACTTGCACTTTTCCACCAGTGCCATGGAGGTCATAAAAGAAGAGCTTTGATGAAGAAGACCGTTTGTTCATAAGTCGCCCTGCAAGAGTAAAATTATCAACATCAATATGAAGAAGGAAATTTGTGGATGAGGTCATGTATTAGATTCATACTCACCAGCCAAAGAAACTTGAACATCCTCCAGATGATCTCCACTATTTAAACTTTCATACTTTTCTATGTATTCAAGAATGGACATGGAGACATGGAATTTGTGTGGGTAGGGGTTCATTCCTGCTGCCTTGTGAGTAGCAAGTGTTTTCAGGCGATTTTCAAAATATTGCTGCAACCAAAGAAGAGACATGTATGATAATCAAGTTAAGATGAGTACTAAGACACAACCCTAGTATAAATAATTAAGAAAACAATTATACCGTTGGATCCATGTCTTCATCATCTGCAGCTGACTGCTTTTGGACAGCTGATTTTGGCATGGAAGCAGCCTGTAAAATGCACAAAGCCATGATGATATTTGGGTCTTTGAGTTACAGATACAAACAATCGCACTATCTGGCATTGGGTTTCGAATTTCACACAATAATACTAATGTCTGATGAACTATTATAGTTACTATCTCATGGCAATTGCATAGCCACTTTCGTTATACAATAATGCAGCATAACAGAAGATGGTCTATTGTAGTCAATTCAGAGGGAAAGAGTTGTAATTTCAGAAGCCACTAAAAGAAGAAATACAGCACGCCACATTATCTTCATACTCAGTGCAGTAATTATTAAAAATTCACGATTGGTTGAAAACAAAGAACCAAGTTAAGTTATTAAGACTCTGAAATGGGTTTTTTATAGTCGACTAACCACTTGATTCACATCCTTAATGTTCGAGAAATGTGGATAGTAGATTCATACAACTTTATTAGACGGAAGATTGAGAAAAAATAGGTCCATTAAGCTTGCCCAGTTCAAAAAAAAAAATCTCTATTTGCTGGTTTGATAGAGATTGAGTTAGAAAAAATGAATTTATAAAGTGAAACGGGAAGAAAAAATATTTGCTTAGTCTGATGAGCACAAAATCGAAGCTATACCGGTCTATAATTTTAAATTGAAAACAACCGTAATTCACCTTTTTCTCCTTCTCCTCTTCCTTGCGACGCCTCTCTTCCTCCTTCTGTTTGTTCTTCAGCTCCTTCTTGCGAGCGCTTCATCAAAATCAAATAATGAATATAAAACCCTAGAATCGCTTCAGAGCATGAAATGATAGTAAATGGTTGCAGCGGTAATGAAAACTCACTTTTTGCTTAAAACATCTGACTCCGGTGGAGCGGACACAGGATTGTCGATTGAGATGGTAGCATCCACGTCCGCCATTGTAGGGGAGGTTGTGTGGAAGAATCTGTAATGGCGTTAGGGTTTCTGGAAGCTGATTGAAAAGACGGCCGGAAGTGTGTGCGGGTAGGACTAGTATGAAAGAAAAAGGATAGAATTGGAAATTCGTTAGCGGGTAGGGTTAAGGCGCCCGGTATTTATTCGGTTTGACACACACTTCAGTCGTGGTGCGCAAGTATCAAATACTTATTTATTTATTGCTATTTACCTTATTTAAATATTTATTTATTTTGTGTGATAATATTTACTTTTATTTATTAGCTTTTTAATCGTATCGAATATATTAGCATAAAAATAATAAGTTTTTTCTAATAACACCTAGGTAGTGTTTGTATTTTGTCTGCAGATCTGCGTGGTCTTTTCTGTTTGCGCCGTGCAGACCACGCGCAAACATTAGTCTTCGCAAATTGATTGTTTTTTTGAAGACTGCAGATCTAAAAATGTTTGCACGTCCTCTTCTTGGTGCAGATATGGACCAAAGTTTCTAACATCTTCAGACATCTTCTAGCCTAAAAAAACTTATATATCTTTATTTTTTAAAGTTTTTTTAATTTATAATTTTTCTAACTTTATTAATGATAAACAATTTGAAAAGAAAATTACAAAACTATAAAAAAAAAAAAAAAAAAAAAAAAAAAAAAAAACGTTCGACGATACAAATATGATATTTTTGACAAATTTATAAATAAAGATTTATTACAATAATAGTCGTTGAAGTTATTTATATATAATATAAAAAAAATCATAATAAATTCTTATATGTTTTTTGCCAAATTTTATAAAACAGTATTTAATATAATATCGTCAATTTCTCGATAAAATAATTATGGTATGTTTTTAATGGATTTAATTGAAAAAAAATTAGTTTATTTTCAACCATTCATGTATCAAATTCTTTAATCACTAATTATAATGTTTAGTTATAACTTTGCAACCAAAGTTGTTGGTTTTTATCAAATATATACGTTATTTCATACTATTTTTATTTTTACTTTATATACAATATAAAAGTTGATCTAGATTCGTTAATTATTTATAACAAAGTTATAAAAATATTAAAAAATCACTTTGAAGTTTAAAAAAAATCAATTTATTTAGATTTCAGTTTATTCTAGTAGCCCGCAGATGTTAAAAAAACAAGCAGTCTTCTTTTTTCAGAATGCAGACGTTTGATCCACCTCTTCTACTGCAGAGGTCTACAGATGTGGTCCGCAGACTGCAGACCTTTTATCTCAGAAAAAACAAACAACACCCTAATGTGAACTTAAAGCTAGTTGGTAAGTCTCTTAATGGTTCTATTAAGAGACAACATTTTAATGTCAAAATCACTCTAAATGGTTAAAAGGCTTTAAATTGCTCAACACCTAATACATCTTTGAACCATAACTTTTTCCAAAAACTAATGTGTCATCATGAAGAAAAATGTGGGTTCTTTTTTTTTTTATTGGAATAGTGTTTAAGGCTGCAACTATATTTGGTAAGTACTTTACCCGATTGAGCATGGTCCTTTTGGTTGCCTTCACCATAGCAACTTGACAGATGATTTATAATGAGAGAAGAAATATTATTATTATATTATGAGGATAATATAAGGAATAATAATATTGTTATTTGATTAATATAAGTCAGAAATTAATTAGGAATTAATTTGGTGACTTAAAGAGATTAATTGAATAAAGGGTATAAACTGTCAATTGTATGATAGTTGTATTTTGAGCAGTGATTCCTTAGGGATAAGGGGTGGACGGATTTTAGGGTTTGGATGAGCTAGAAATCGTCCAAAGGCTTATCAATAAGGATTGGATTGCTTAGAGCCTAAGTTATCCAATTAGGGTTTTAAGGGTGAAACCCTAGGAGGCTCACTAGTATAAATACACCCATAGGGTTGAGGAAATCGGCACCCTTAGTATTGAGGAGACCCTGGCCGATTTCTCACCCTCTTCCATCTCTCTCAAATCATCCTCTTGCTAGTTGGTGTTTGTAAGCCATTAGAGGAGTGACATTTGTGACTCTAAGCTCCAAGGACAAGAAGATTCAAGCAAGTAATTCAAGGTATTCTTTTAGATCTGATTTCTTGTGTTATTATACTAGATTTATCAATCAAAGTCTTGGATACATTGCATGTTCAATTAGAGAAACCTAGATCCAAGCATTAGGGTTTGTATGTGCACATAGGAATGTTCTTATGGCTAAAACCCAACAGTGGTATCAGAGCCTTGATTGGTTTCTATTGAATTGATGCATTGGTTGCTTGATTGTTGTTTGCAAAATTCGAATTTTGTCAATCTGCCTGATGAACTCGGCGAGTCCCATAGTGGACTCGGCGAGTAGGCCTCGACTCGACGAGTCCATTGTGGTACTCGACGAGTCCGAGCGTCAGGAGGAGCTAATTACGGGATTTCTTGCTGTTTATCTTAAGGAAACTTGCCTTTATCTTAATGGGTCAATATAAATCCGATTTTATCATATATATGAGTATATCCTTGACCTAATTCAAGATAATTACCAATTAATTGAATAATAATTTCCTTATGTGATAATTGATTAATTATTTTAATTAAATTGGTAAATTGTTTTGCAAGAAACATCAAATATGGATAATTATGAAATTAAATGGTTAATTTAAATTATTTGTTATTTGATCCCTTGTGTTTTGAAAAGTTTAAAACTAATCCTCAAGTTTTGAAATTTAGTTTTGTGATTAAAAGTTTAATTTGGACAATTTAAATTTCAAACCCTAGAATTTTACAAGTTTAAAATTCAACCCTATACTCTATATGATTACAAGCTTAATATATATATATATATATATATATATATATATATATATATATATATATATATATATATATGTATAATTAAAATGCTAGTCTTACCGTTAGTAGGCCTCATTCACGAAGCCGGTCTATAAGGTGGGTATAAGGTTGCTGCCTATAAAATGGCGCTTAATGGGTGTACACTCACACCCACCGCTTGCTTGATCGGTGGAGGGTCGTTAGCCGAACGGGTAGGATAGGGCAACTCCATCTCCTCGTTAAAAGTATAATATTAAATACAAAGTAACTACATGTTTCCCAATCCTAGTTACTTTAGGAAAAGTGAATTGATGCAATCCCATGAAATTACACTTTGCACCCTTGCTAAGAAGTTAGTGGAGCGTGTGTGGTTTACCGGCACACTAATTGGTTCTAAGCATAGGTGGCAAAGGGTGATTCATTGTTTATCATAGTTCGGTGGAGCGTGTGTGGTTTACCGGCACATCGAATAGGTGATCGTTACAATGAAGGCACCGTGTAGATTTGCATGGTTATTCACACCCACTTTGTGATCCTCGGCATCCCAGTCACAAACGAGAGGGGCATATCGAGATTTAAACATGCCATTGAAAAGTTCAATGAATCTCATCGAAACCTAGGAATTCTCAATGTGTTTAAAACTTAAAGGTAATGTTTTCATGGTGGAGAATTAGTGAATCGTCATTCACTTACCTTCAAATTGTTTGCATGTTGGATTACGGCATCCCTTTTCTAATATGTAAATAATGTTGTTGGATCCTAGCCCTAATTTTTCTTATTGGGTGATAATTAGGGATTCAAATTCTAATCAATCTTTGTCCTTTCTATTTATAGATGTCAAACGCGAACAACGCTGCTGCTAGTTCATTCACATTGATGAGCCTTTGCCAAAAGGTGACTTTCGATGGAACGAACTTTAGCGAATGGATAAGATACATTCGCACGATTGCTCGCTACGAGGACAAGGAGTATGTCCTCGACGAAAAGCTCGAGAAGATCAATCCAGAAATCGCTACTCCGGCTGAAATCACCGCTTTTGAAACTCATGAGCGTGATGCAACGAAGGTTCATTGCATCATGATAGCCACAATGAACTCCGAATTCCAAAAGTCCTACAAGGACATGTATCCGTACGAAATGCATTAAGACTTATTGGAGAGATATCATCAAAACGCGAGGCAGGAGCGTTACGAGATCTTCACTAACATGATCTCTGCTAAAATGGGACATGGAGAATCTCTAACCGTACACTTGCAAAAGATGCAAAGGTATGTCGATCGTCTTCGCAAGTTGAATGTCGACTTTGGGGAAGATTTGGCTATCGACATGGTACTTCATTCCTTGCCTCCGTGTTACAACCAATTTAGGATGACCTACCACATGAACAAGGAAGAGGTCACCCTAAGTAAACTCCAAGGTCTCCTAAGGGTTGCTGAGAGCAACCTCAAGGACAAGTCTGTTGCACCAACTCCCAATCCACCCGTTGCTCCTGTTTTGGCTATTGGGCCAGGAAGGTGCAAGAAGAGGAAGGCTCCATCTAAGGGCCACCGCAAGGGAAAGTCCCGAGATGGTGCCTCTTCTAGTGGGACCAAAGTTGATCCCGCTAAGTCCAACTCTAACCCAAAGGAGGCAGAGTGCCACCATTGCCACAAAATAGGGCATTGGAAGAGAAGCTGCCCAGAATACCTGCAAGCTATCAAGGAAGGAAAGATCAAGCCATCTTTCGCATGTATTTACACAATTAAATCTAATGATTCATCTCATGCTATTTCTTATGTCCTCGATACCGGATGTGGTTACCACATTTGTTCTGAATTGTAGGGACTAAGAAGAAATAGGGATGTGGAGTATGGAAGAATAAATCTAATCATGGGGAACAGAAGATCGTCGCCTGTAACCAAGATTGGAGTGTATTCTTTAGTGCTTAGTAATGGATTATGTTTAGATTTGGATAATTGTTGCTACTCGCCAGAAATGGCAAGAAACATCATTTCGTTTCATGGTTTGTTTAGACAAGGATTTAGATTTTCTTTTAATAATGAGAATGGTTCTATTTATGTTTATCTAAATGGTGTCTTATATTTTGAAGCAATGTCATGTAATGGAATTTATGAAACTATTATGATTGTAGATAACCTAGGAAATGATGTTTTATTCATGGATTCTTCCAATAGTATGGATAGAGCATCCTTGTGGCATTATCGTC